GTTTTTTTTTTAAGACTTTATTTATTTATTTGACAGAGAGAGACACAGCGAGAAAAGGAACACAAGCAGGGGGGAGTGGGAGAGGGAGAAGCAGGCTTCGTGCTGAGCAGGGAGCCCTTTGCAGGGCTCAGTACCAGGACCCTGGGATCAGGAGCTGAGCTGAAGGCGGGCGCTTAACGACTGAGCCACCCAGGCACCCCTCATAGTATTGCTTTTATCTACTTTTGTGTTTGAAATTCTTTTGTAATTATAAAAAGAACCAGATTAGAGCCTAGCTACTGAAAACATAGTTTGCAGACCAGCAGCATCAGCATCACCTGGGAGTAGGGATGCCGGTATTGATGAATAAAAATACAGGATGCCCAGTGATATTTGAATTTCAGGTAAATGACAAATTTTTCAGTATAAGTACGTTCCGTGCAATAATTTTACTTATACTAAAAAACAGCTTGGCAGTTTCTTGTGAAACTAAACATGTAAAACTACTTTAGGACCCAGCGATTGCACTCACGGGCATTGCATTTACCCAGAGAAATGGAGACTTACTTATGTCCACACAGAAACCTGTAGATGGATGTCTATAGCAGCTTTATTCCTAACAGCCCCAAACTGGAAACAATCACGTTGGCTTTCACTGGGTGACTGGTTAAACAGCTGATGCATCCACACCACACAATACTGCTCAGCAATAAAAAAAGAATGAGCTATTGATCCATGCAACAACCTGGATGGATTTCTAGGGGATTATGCTGAGTGGCAAAAGTCAAGCCCAAAAGGTTACATGTTGTATGGTTCCATTATGTGGCATTCTCAAAAGGCACAAGGATAGAAAAAGAGAACCGATGAGTGGTTGTCAGGGGTCATGGAGAGGGTGGGGGTGGAAGGAGGCAGAAAAACAGGAGGGATCTTTGTGGCTACCGCAATGTTCAGCTTCTAGACTGTACCTATGTCAATATCCTGTACTCTAGTCTTACAAGACGTTATCGTTGGGGGAAACTGGGCAAAGGGTACACAAAATCTCTATGTGTTGTTTCTTACAATTGCATATGAATCTACAATGCTCAACACAAAAAAGTTTAATTACAAAGAAAAAAATAAGCCAAAAAAAAGTTATTTGGTGTTTATTTGTTTTTGTTTTTTTTTAAATTTTTTATTTATTTATTTGAGAGAGAGAGAGAGAGAAAGAAACAGCATGAGAGGGGATAGGGTCAGAGGGAGAAGCAGGCTCCCCGCTGAGCCAGGAGCCCAATGCGGGACTCGATCCTAGGACCCTGGGATCATGACCTGAGCCGAAGGCAGTCGCTTAACCAACTGAGCCACCCAGGCGCCCTGGTGTTTATTTGAAATTCAGGTTTAACTGGGCATCCTGTGTGTTATCCGGCAACTCTGGAGCTTGCTGGAATGCAAACTGCCCAGCCCCACTTCTGACCCACCGAATCAGAATCTGTGTTCTGACACTCAGGTATGAGCTCTGATTAGTGGCTTCCAGCTCCCGTCCTGCTTGGGTTCCTAGGAGTCGGTGACCGTAGCAATTAACATGTGTCCTTGAGCTGTTTATGGTATTTCAAAAAGCCCAAAGGGAATCACACTTTTTACTTAGGATCAGGCTGCACAGGACAAGTGAGTTTTAATTGCCCAGTGGCTTCTCACTCAGAATAGGGTCTCCTATAATGACTCAGAATAGACTCCTGCCCTGGCCTCCACGGCCTTTCCAGTCCCAGCCCTGCCCCCCTCTCTGACCTTACCTCCCACTACTCTTGCCCCTGTGACAATCTGTACCAATTTGTGTCTTTTTTTATAATTTTTTTTAAAGATTTTATTTATTTATCTGAGAGAGAGAGAGAGAATGAGAGAGAGCACATGACAGAGGGGAGGGTCAAAGGGAGAAGCAGACTTCCCGCCGAGCAGGGATCCTGATGCAGGACTTGATCCAGGGACTCCAGGATCATGACCTGAGCCGAAGGCAGTCGCTTAACCAACTGAGCCACCCAGGTGCCCTGTACCAATTTGTGTCTTAAACACACCAAACCCAGGGCCCACACCAAAGCCATTCCCACCTCAGGGCCTTTGCACTTGCTATTTATTCTTCCCGAACACTGCTTCTAGAACTTCAAGGGGATCTCTGCTCAAATGTTGCCTCCTCAGAAAGGCCTTCTCTGATCATCCTATCTTTCTAAACTAGGTCTACTCTCCCCACCCAGGTCCACTCCATCACATCAAAGCAACTTATTTTCTTAAATCAGTTGTTAGTACCTATTTATATTCAGTAGTTCACTCTATTAGAAACTGTGACAGTTCTGAAAGAGGCTGAGTAATAAAAATCTGAAAAATATATTAATTATTTAATTAATTGAGAATACAGTCTGTTTGGTGGGTAGGATCTTTTGAAAGCACCCAGAGCTTGGGAGAAACAAGTTAAATGGGTCATCTCTAGGGGACCTCTGAGCTCTGATCTTCAAGTCTTTCCATAAATCCCATTTTACACTTGTCCCTCCCCAGCTTGAAAAATCTCAGCTCTAGAATACAGTTCACACTTCTCATCCTGGCATTCATTTCCATTTACTTAGGTCATCTTTAATATTGGTCTTTCACTGCTAGATTTGGTTTGCTAGCCATTTTACATACATCTTGAGTGAAACTGGCCTGTCATTTTCCTTTCTTGTCCTGTCCTTGTCTGGTTTTGGAATCAAGGTTACACTGGCTCACAGAACGAAGAGGGGAGTAGTCCCTCTTTTCCTATTCTCCAGAAATGTTTTCAAAAGATTGGAATAATCAGTTCCTTGGAAGTTATATAGAAATTGCCTATAAAACCACATGAACATAGTATCATCTTTATGTATGTGTTTGGTGTGAAATGTAGCATATTAAAAAAAAAAGCATAAAATGTAAGTGTTCAGCTTAATGAATTGCTAGAAAATAAATTGCCCATTTATCTGCCACTCTCTCAGGTTAAGACATAAACTATTACCAACACAAAGGAGACCCCTCCACCATGGGACACTTTCCAGTCATAACTCCCCTTTCCCTCAGGGGGTGATAATTATCCTAGTTTTCTTGATAGTCCCTTGCTTGCTCTTCCTTAAAATGTTTCTACTTACTTATACATCCCTTAAGGCAGAGTTTAATTTAGTCTGTATCTATCTTTAGGTAAATAGAATAAGACAGTTTGTAATTTGTTTGGTATCTTTCCCTCAAAATTGTCATTAGGATTCATCCGTGTTGGGGCACCTGGGTAGTGCAGTCGGTTGAGCGTCCGACTCTTGGTTTTGGCTCAGGTCTGATCTCAGCGTCAGGAGATTGAGCCCCGGGTCAGGCTCTGTGTTGGGGGGTCTGCATTCAGCAGGGAGTCTGCTTAAGATTCTCTCTCCCTCTCCCTCTGCTCCTCCCCCTGCTCTCTCTCTCAAATAAATAAATAAATAAATATTTAAAAAAGATTCATCTATGTTGTGGTATGCATATATATGTTGTTCCTTTTCATGATTATGTATATTCCATAGTATGGATATATCATAATTTATTCATGTAATTCTTGGACATTTGAGGTTTTGCAGTTTGGTGACAATATGAACAAGAGTCCTATGCACACTGTTGTAATTGTGTTCTGGTGCACATAAACCCATTGCATGCATATACCCAGTAATGGAATCTCTGGGTCAGAGGGTGTGTGTATTTTCCTCTCTACTAGAAACTGTCACATTTTGTTCCAAAACACATGCGACAGTTTACCGTCACCAGAAGTGTCTGAGAGTTTACATGGCACATATCCTCACCGCCACTCACTATTCTTTTTTTTTCTTGAAGATTTTATTTATTTATTTGATAGAGAGAGAGAGAGCACAAGTAGGTAGAGCGGCAGGCAGAGGGAGAGGGAGAGGGAGAAGCAGGCTCTCTGCCAAGCAGGGAGCACGACGTGGGGCTCGATCCCAGGACCCTGGGATCAGGACCCAAGCCGAAGGCAGCTGCTAAACAACTGAGCCACCCAGGCACCCCTGCCACTCACTATTCTTAGATCTTTACATTTTTGCCAATCTGGTGGCTGTGGGGGAATCTCACTGCGGGCTACTGCTGAGGTACTCCTGAATGTGATTTTAAAATTTATCTTTTGTAATTGATTTCTAATTCAATTCCATTCGGATCAGAAAACCCGGTCTGTGAGATTTCATCTTATATTTATGACTGGGACTTCTGAAGTCCTTTGTCGGGGGTAGGGGGAGCAGTGTCTAAGTCTGTGGTTTATTGTTTCTGCTGACTCTTCTTCATGGTGGCTCACATGCCTGGTGACCTCAGATCATGAATTTGCCTGATCTTACTCTGTGGGAGTCCTGTCCACATATGGGATGCTTTCCTCTGGAGAAACCTCCTATCTGCCTCTGCTGGGAACCAGCGGCACGACCAGCCAGGTTGCCGCTAGCCCCTCTGGAGGTTCTGCCTTGAGCTGACTCAGGCTTGGCATCCTGAAAAGGCTTGCTATTCGGTTAAGCTATATGAAACTACCACTTTGGGGTTAAAAAACTGTTAAATAATCAGCAATCGCATATGGTCTAAACTATACTGTTAACATTTGCTTGCAGGACAAGCTGCTGCTTTCTTTGCTTACTGTTTACCTCCCCCAGTTAGATTCTTCGCTCAAGATTTGTTTCCTTTTGTTGGGGAGGGGAGGTGGCTTTGGAGATTTCCCCAATGTCTTGTGAGCCCAGCAATGCATTACAAATGGATATTTTATTCAGGAGTGAGTTATTTTGCAGTGGGGTGGAGGGCAGGTCTTAGGAGTAGCTAGGCAACTGCTAGAAGCAGAAATCCCAGGATATGTATTTTTTTTTCCCAATGAGGAAACCAAGGCTCAAAGAAGTGAAAGGACTCAAGGTCACATGGCTGGTAAGAGGCAGGGTTAGGATCTGAACCCACACATGAGACCAGAAAGCCAGGCTCTTTCTACTTCCGCTCTGTCTGCACTGCCTCCAGAGGGCTGTGTGGGCCTGAGGTTTAGCCGGCATCCTTACCTGGTTCAAGGGAATGACGAAGAAGGCCCCCCCACAGGAGCACTCAGTCACGACTGCAATGAAATAGGGGTTCACAGCACAGAAATGATTGTCTTGGACGCTGTGGGTGATGGGCACCGAGTCGTAGCAGTTCTCCTTGCTGGCTGGTTTGCCAAAGACGTGGCGGAACTTGGAGCTCCGGTACTGGGGATTCCATGACATCTGCGGGAAACGAACAGGACAAGGGGGGCATGAGGCTCATGGCTCTGGCAGCGGGACACTTGGGGAGCTCCCCTGGAGAGGGCAGGACCAGGGCAGTGGTCGGTTCTATATGGACAGGGTGCAATCAAGGGCAACCGAACGAACAGGCCATCATTGTGGCTACTTCTATGGATCTGGTGAGATGATGTATGATTATCACTGACCTGTTTGCTTGTCATCTCTTCACGTGTCAACCCAAAAGGCAGAAACACCAGAGAGAAAATTCAGATTCCCTCCCTATCGGCCCACCCCACTCAGCCCAGCTGTGTGGGTCACACTGTGTCCTCTGGAGCCAGCCTGCCTGGGCTCCAGTTCCAGCTCTGCCTCTTACCGGCTGGGTGGGCATGTGACTTAACTTCTGCGGCCTCAGTTTTCTCATCTGTAAAATGGGGATGACAAAATCATCTGTCTCATAGACTTGTCGTCAGGACTAAATAATAGGTCCCTTGATCTACAGTCATCATTACTACCACTATTATCATCTGGGCATCTTGAGCTTCCCTAGCTCCTCATCCAGCCCCATATTTGTTCACTCTAGTTACTGAGCACCACTGTGTGACTAGGCCCTGTGCCTGGCACTGGGGGTCTGGAGAGAGTAAGCAGGAGCCCAACCTTAGAGAAGTGAAGAGTCCTGTGAGTGAGGCCACTAGGGGAAGGTGGGCCACTGGGACCCAGTGTACTATAGGTAATAATAAAGGTTTGTACATGGCAGTCCGGGAGGGCTTCCCAGAGGAAGTGACAAGCGAGCTGTGATTTGAAGGATGAGTAGGAGTTGGCCATGTTGGCGGGACAAAGGTAAGGTGGGGGGAAAACGTCCCAGGCAGATGGAACAGCCTGAGCAAAGGCCCTGAGAGAGAAGCAAACATGGAATGTTTGGAGAATTACACGTGGTTTAGTAAGATTAGCAAGGAAATGTGAAAAAGAAAAAAAATATATATGCATATACACACATAAACATGGAAATGGGATGATGGGAGTGAAGAGAGCACAAGCTGGAGGGGGAGCACGGCTAGGTCATGGATGGCAGAAGATGGTCTCGGCCTCATGAGTGGCCAAACACATGACACCATGTGGCCACCGCTGCCCGGGTCAAACCCCTAACCCCAGTCTCTGACCCCACCGGGCCTGCCCGTCATGCTCCTCATCTGGGCCAGAGAGAGCCTTCTGGACACCAAGCCTGGCTGTATTCCTCACTCCTCCCCCAGCTGAGTTCACCCTTGGATGCTCTTGATTCACTGCCGCCCTGCAGGAGGAAGGCCAAACCCAGTCTGGCATTCAAGGCCTTCCGGTGGGGTGCCCCCCCCCAATATTCCAGGATTCACCTTTTCTTGCTCATCTTCTAAAATGTACTTTCCAGATAAAGAACATCCCAGCTTCCCTTGTACCTGCTCTTACATTTCCAGTCCCTTGCCTTCCCCTCTGCTTGGCCTGCCCTTCCCAGCCCTGTAATCCCTGTACCCATCTCCATAAATCCAAACCCTCCCTCCCCCAGCTCCCAGGCCCCTTCTCCAGAGTCTTCCTTGCCACCCCGAGTAGCAGAGCTCTTGTCCTCTCCTCTCTTCTACCCCCCACCAGCTGCGTCTTCTCCCTGCCCTCAGGCCCCTGACACTGCTGGCCCTGATTCCAGATTCTGGTGTCAGGGCTCTTCTTCTCTGCTGCTTGCAGGTTCTTCAGAGAAAGGCCCGGGGTTCTGCTGCAGGAGTGCCCAGCACAGAGCTCTGCCCAGCCCCAGGCCCTAAGAACTTCCCAAGGGCAGGCACGTTTGGCTGGGCACCCCCAGGGTCAGGACAAAGAAGGCATTTGCTCTGTGATCAGTTCAAAGGCACAAGATTAGACTGTTGACCTCAAGAAGTCACAGTGATCGGGGGTCCCACACATGAGCCAAACCCTCAACAGGAAGCCCACCAGCCTCCTGGGACAGGTCTGTCCTGTGAAGCTCAGACATTTCAACTCTCCTTTTGGGAGCTGCATTTGCCAGAGCTATAGAAAGCGGCCCAGAATGCAGGGACAGACTAATTAATGTCCGTCTGATCCCAGAAAGGAGGTAAGAAGCCTTACAGAAATGGAGAGCACACAAGATGGAAGCAGATGGAAAAGCCACGGCGAGGCCATGGGGGCAGAGGGAAAAATGCAGGAATAAAGAGATCACCTGATATTCGGGGGGAGCTAAGCTACTGAATGTGCGCTGTCAGGTCCTCTACACAGTGGAGATGCACCTCAGACTTGAGTCTGAGCCTCCTAGTGGCCAGTTTGATAAGGGAAACTGAATCAGAAAGGGATTTAGTCAGTGTGTGTAAGATACAAGCCACCACTTGCTAAGGAGCAGCCCATCTTTTCTCTGCGCTGGGTCCTCAGGGAAATGGGTCCTGGGGGGGTTTCTTAGAAAAGAACAGCAAGGACCAAGATGTCCCTAGGGTCTTGGTCATTAGATGGCAGCTGAGGAACTGCCTTGGGCCAGGGCTGGGGGCAGGAAAGTAAGGGGCAAGTCAGCAGGCTCAGATCCAGGCCCCCCAACTCTGCCTCACCTTCAGCAGCAGCAGCGGTGGGGGGGTGCACATCTGTCTGTGGCCAGTGGTGATGCTCCCCCCACGTTCCAGCTTCCTTGCCACTGGGCGGCCACGGTATTAGTTCTAGCCAGTGGATCGGGGGCAGCAATGCTGTGTGCCTCTTCCAGGCTGGAGCACGTAAGCCCTGCCCGTGACCCTCCAGAACTCTTGACCTTAGACAAAGGGAGAGAAGGCCGAGTGTTCTAGATGATGCAGCTTCCATCATCCTGGGACCCCAAGGGACCGCGTGGAACAGAGGACCTCCCCCTAACAGAGACATGTTGGACATACAGTGTGACAGAGACATAAACTCGCAGAGCGAGCCGCTGAGCACGTAGGCTATTTGTCACGGAGACTAGTCTATGCATCCTAACACCTTGCCCCGTGCAGCGCCAACCAATGGCAGACTGGCGATGGCTGTCTGTGCTCGGTGTGGCTGGAGCACAGGAACCCGCGGGGGAGAGGTGGGCAGGCAGGACCATGACCCAGATCACCTCAGGAGCCACGGAAAAGAACGTGAACTCTGAGGGCGACGGGAGCTGCTGCAGGGATGAAAACGGGCTCGAGGAGCGGAGCTCACTTTTAGGTGGATTCCCTTGATTGCCAAGAGTAAGACAGCATGGAACAGGTGAGAGGTGAGGATCACCTGGGTGAAGTAGGGCAGACGGGACAGAGAAGAGCGGACATGTCAGTGGAAAACCTGGGGGGGGGGGGCGGTAAGAGTCAAGGGCTATGGGCTGTGGGGTAAGAGGGCTGGCCCATCGTGGCTGCCGAAATCACCATGACCTGAGCGACATCACCCATCCTGTCCCCTCCGGCCACTCCTGGTGCTCTCCCTTCACAGCACCGGGCCTTGGCCCCACACCTGAGGGATGGCTCCCAGCCCAGGGGCAGGGGCAGGAGGCCCCAAGAGGCAAGGGCTCTCCTTTAGCTCAGTCACCTCCGTGGCAATGACAACTCAGTTTTTGGGTGCTTGCTACGTGCCAGGTGCCATTCCCAGTGCTTTCCTTGTATGCCCTTAACAGGCAGGTGCTACCTTGCTCCCCAGTACAGATGTGGGGGTTGAGGCAGAGAAGCGAAGGAACCCACATGAGGTTACACAGCTAGCCAGCTGGAGCTGGGGGCTGACCCCAGCCCTGCCTCTGGAGCCTCCAGAGCCTCCAGCTCCAGGATGAGGAAGCCTCTTTCCTACCCACCACACGCTCGATCTCACCTCAGCCCCGAAGGGGAGGCATCATGACCGTTCTCACCCCCACTTTACAGAAAAGTAAAACAAGGCTCAGGAAACTAAGTGGACACCTTCTGGAAAGAGGGCTTTTTGCTTCCACTGATAAAGCCAGCGGCTGTGGAACAGTGACAGAAAACTAAAACTCTGTGTTAGTGACCTTCTGTCCCCTCGCCCCCAACTCCACTCCCCACTCTTCCCCACCCTACCCTGCCCTGGCACCTTATCTCCCCTGCCAAAGTGCTTCCAGACCTGTTGCCACGGAAGGAAACTTACAGAAGTGGGGGATGGGGCCAAGCCAGGCAGGCCGTCTCTCTTTCTGCCCGCAGTATGGGAGCGTGCACACATGTATGTGGCTGAAGTCTGTGCAGATGTGTGTGCGCGGTGTGCAAATTTGTGCCCGAGCACTGCATTCATCATACGCACCGGTGTGTGCACGCATCTGGGCGTGCATGTGTGTATCCGTGCATGCATGAGTTTAAGGACTCAGCAATTCAGAGAGCAGGAGTTTTATTTCCCCCACAAGCAGGCACTTGCCTGGAAATGCAGACTGCAGTGGGCCCTCAGCGCCTCGAGGGCCCTCGCCCATGGGCTGGGCCAGAAAGGCCGGTCTGGGCCAGGTTTATCCCAGGCCACCAGTCCTGTCCTGCCTGGTGCCATCCAGCGGGGCCTACATCAAAGTCACAGCATGCTTTCTTAGGGGTGGCGGGCCAGCCCGCTGGGGCACCGAGTGGGGGGTGGCAGGGCTCCTGCTGCTATCCCATGCGTGTTTAGCGGGCCCGATGCCATGGGATTAGGCTTTGCAGGCTGCAAATTCCCCGCGCCCCAAAAAGATTTAGTCATCTCTGGGTTTAACATCCCATTGAGTTAGTTCTTAATGCCTGACAGGTGAATAGCTTGCTGCCTGTCCCATCCCTTCCAGTGACCCTGCCAGGTAGGTGGAGACTGCTGTCCCATTTGATGAGGGCAAAACTGAGGTGCTGGGAAAGGGACTTGACCAAGATGACATTAATAGGAGCAACGGGAGGTGGGAAGCAGAAGCCAATGGCCCTCTTCCTGCTATGCGCTCCCCTCTGATGTGTGTGTGTGTCTGTGTGTGTGTGAGAGAGAGACACACAGAGAGAAAAACACACACACACATATACATATATATACATATACATATATACACACACATGTGTGTGTGTATGTATTTCTGCCTGCACCCAAAGGCCTGCCTTCCCAGCCCAGCCCTGCATCATTGCAGGCCAAGGGTTAGCTGCGGGGTGAAAGAAACCAAACCCAGACTGGGAGTGGTACAAACCAGCATAATAGATTAGTCATTAATTGCCTGTTCCTGGCCTCAGGGAAAGCATGACATTGCCTAATTTGGTATTAGACTCAGGGGTGGGTAGGGGTCTGGTGCTGCTGGCTACGATCGTCCCTTTGTAAGTTTGTGGTTCCTCATCTAATATTTGCAGTTTTATTTAATTTGCTCTCTTAAAACCTGACCTCGTGGCCATGTGAGCTGCCCTCTACATGCCTCGGGAGAAGGTTGAAACTACCACACTTAGGTCAAGGTAGTTAACAGAGGGGAATCAGAACCATAGTTTCCTAGGCTTAAAAAATGAAAAAAAAAAAAGACTACTGTAAGAGTAAAGAACACTCTGAAGGTGATCCACAAAGACCGAGAGTTAACACCACAAACACCTAATTATGGGCGGGTCCCGCACCTTGACTCCAATCCTTGACCAACTATTATCCATCATAGGGCTTATCCTGATCCTGACCTTGGCTCCCAACTTGACAGGAAAGCTTCTTTCTCTTTCGTCCTGAATCCTTATGAGGGCCTCTGATCCACCCCAGAAGGACGTAGGACCTCTGGCTCAGGAAGGAAGGCCCAAGTAAGTTCAAGTTGCCCTGCTATGGCACCCATCTCTGCTTAACCAGCTTCCCATGGAGGCTTCCCTTCTCACCAGGCAGAAAGAAGAAACCACAGGTCTTAGCAACTTCCTGCTAGTGAGAATTTTATCCACAGTCGTTTCTGCTCATCTGAGGCCAGGCCCTGGTTTACTTGTCACTTCTTGGCACAAGGTGTCTATTTTTGCCTTCCATGGGCCAGCATCAGGATCTGCAGTGACATGGTGGGATGCAGGAAACTGGGGCCTCAGGGTCTCACCCCACTGGCTTAGTCTTCTTCCCTCCTTCGGAGTGAGAAGAGGCCTTGTCGCTCTCCACAGAAGCAGGGGGACCGCCTGTCCTGGTTTGCCTGGGATGTGGGGAGGGGAGTGAGGGGACTACGTATTCCTGATGCTAAAACGGGAAATGCCTGGGAAAGTCCCAGGCAAACAGGGGCAAATCGGGCACCCCACCAACTGCAGAGGTCTCCAGAAAACTGTCATCTAATTCACACACAACGATTCTAAGTCACTTGTAACCTTGACTCTGGCAACGTGCTCTGTGAAAGAGAAGGCTCTAGAATGGACTTCCTAAAGAGCCCAACATCCTGAACCAGAGCACAGAACATTTCAAAGCAGAAGAATACAAGGTTTGTAAAGGGAGGTGAATCTGGCTTAATTCAATCAGCAAGTTTCATCCGCTATTGGCTTAGTGCTTCTTCTGGGCCAGGCCCCGTGTTGGGACTGGGGTGCAGGGGCGAGGATGGGCAGTTCCATCACTGCTCTGCACATGCTCGGGGAGACGGCCGAGAGCAGGAAGGCTGGAGATGGCGTGATCTTAAACTGCTAAAGCACAGGGCTGCGGGCTCCAACTTCGAACGCACATGAGCATCACTGACATCAGACCACTGGCCTTGGGACCCCCGCACCGGCTCTGACACGGGGGCCCTGTGGCTTCTAAATTAAAGTCAAAATGAAGTAAAAGGAAATAAAACGTAAAATGCAGCTTCTCCATCACCTTAGCAACGTTCCAAGTGCTCAATAACTACATGTGGCTACTGGATACCCAATTAACAGTGTAATTACAGAGCATGTCCACACCTGTGTGACTTTGGGCGGGTGACTTAATGTGGCTATTTCTTCACCAGCAAAATTTGGCATAGTAACAACTATGCATGAAGTATGTTCCATGTACTAACTCAATCCTTGCAGCAATCCCCGAAGTACTATTATCACCCCATTTTTACAGATGAGAAAACTGGAGGCCCAGAGAGGTTAAGCAACGTGTCCAAAATCACACAGCTAGTAGGCGGCTAGCTGGCATTTGAAGCCAAGCTGTTCAGTCCTGGGTCCACACTCTCTCACAGGGCTGCCCGGACAATTAAATAGGATAATCCACACAGCACATGGAGTGATGCTGGGTGCATACTTAGCGCTCAACAAATGTTTGCTGTTAAGACTGTCGTGGTCCCGATGTTTATAGCACGCTAAGATTTGATTTCGTACGTGACAGCTATGTGTTGACGGCCCAACGTTTTGGAGGTCTGAGTAAAAATCCCAAACCAGAAAGTGCAAAGCACCCCGCTAGGCACAGAGTTCTGACCCCTGGTGCTCACCACATCGATGGAGGGAACAGACAAGCACCCATGAAAAGCTAACTAATAATCCCTCTTGGTCAAGAGGAACCCGAAGAGTGTATGTGTGCATCTCTCTGGCGGGGATCCTCAGGGTAGAAGCCTGCAGCCTCGCTCAGCCCCGTGCTGAGGGGACTGGGGCTCTTGGTAGGGATGGGAGTCGTGCTGGGCAAGACAGGGGGAGCCCTCTGGTTTTCTCCATCAGCACAGCCCTCACAGGAAATCAGGGATACTGCCTCAGGGGAACCCTCCACCAGGCCTCCAATTCCCCCCTCCAAACCCCCCCCCCCCCCCCCCCCGCCGTATCAGCAGGGAAGGCAGAGGGCCCTGCAGCCAGCAACTAAAAACAGCCCTATCTCCAGGTTCTCTCTGCCGTGGGGCCCCTCCTCTGCCCCCATCTCCCTTCTTCCAGGTCTCCGGTCCTTCTGGTCCGGCAC